CGGTGTCTTACAATTCGGGTACAGTACTTCCACGGGCAGTACACTGTGATTTCCTGGGTATAATAAACCCGCGTCGTTATCTCGATGATACTTTGCAATGAAATCGAAATAGTTACCCTCACACCCGACACACTGCTTAGCCATGATGGAACTGATTTGGATTTCTTCTGGGCCCAGCTTCTATTGTCACGTGATGATCTATTTTTAATATGATTGATTATATTGCGTTGGACGTCATGGGCATGTTACGTTCCACCGAAAATTAAATTGGCTCATTTGATTTCCGTCGCTTACGTCATACGCCACGAATCCGTTTTTCGTCGCCTTTTCGTAATTTTGTCGCGACGCTGAGGACGTAAGGTTGTTGCGTTTCCTGTTTTTTACACCTTTATTACTTTTCTTATCAATTTGCGCAGAAATTGCTATAGAAGAAAACTTTCATAGAATTATGTGTTCTACTATTTGGTAAGCTCAGATTCTGTTGTTGTTTTTTTAGGTGTTAGGCGTCATTTCCAATAATTCCATAACATATTTTAGAAAGTACACATATCAATAGTATTTATAGTATGAGAAAGAAATAAAAGTAAACCAGAAATTCATGACTTGGCGATTTTCAGGGTAGACTATGATATAACTACATTTCAAGAGAGGCTACGATATCACTACATATGAACATTGTGTTTCACAGTTTGTTTGTCTAAAAGTTACGTTTGTTAATTTGTCAGTGAATGCGCTGAGCCCTGTCATTTCAAAGGATAAATATCACTGTATGTATAGCAGACTCAATCTAAGTAAAATTCACAGTTGCGTGAGGAGGATCGTTACGAGAGGTACTAGTGGTTTTGTATCTAAACTAAGTTAAATGCGATTGTTTTTTTGTGTGTTATCGCTGTACATTATTTTCTCCATTATTCATAATCTTATCTTAACAGTCTCTCAGTCCTTTATCTTATCGATCAATCTATTTTTTGGCCTATCATTTTTTCTATCAATTTCTCCGTCCGTTAAATCATCAATCTATCAGTCGTCTGTCTAATCGATCTCTCAGTCATTTATCTTAATCTATCAGTCCTTTGTGTTATTGATCCATCAGTCTTCCATCGAATTCTATCAGTCTTATCTCCTAAACGACTGAAATCCCTGACACCTGCGTCCGTGGAATTTCAGGTACGTCCTCCCTCTCGAAGGCACGCAGGAAACGCGCTTTGTCATTCCTCAGGAGAGCAAGAAGTACGAGATCTTCAAGTGGAAAGTCAAACTGCCCGAAGGAGTCACCTGCAGCCACTGCGTCCTGAGGTGGAAGTACTTCGCAGGTGAGGTCACTTCTTTGTGTAGTATTTTTTTGCCTTTTGATATTGCGTTTCTTTGCTTCCTTGCTTCCTATGTCTGGTTGCTTTGGAATTTTGAGATGGCTAAGGATTGCAGAGGCTTAAGGTTACTGTGCTGTATGTATTTATAGCTGTCGAATGTCCGCGCTTTATGACTACATTTCTATAATTATTATTACCATTGTTATCCACAGGAAACACATGGGGCGTGAACCAAGAGGGCCTGGAGGGCGTGGGTCAGGGACCTCAGGAGACCTTCATCAACTGCGCCGACGTCGTCATCAACACGCAGACGGGCGGCTTCGCAGGATATCCACAGGAGACCAACGAGGTGGACAACCCTTGGGCTCTCTACTACATAGGCAGCTTCCCTGAGGGTAATCAAGACTCCAAGGATCAGCGCCCTGGAGGACTCACACCGCTGATCATTAGGTACTTGTGCTGCGGGGAGTTTGCGGGGGATGGAGTCCTGTGGGATGGATGAAGAGGGGCTGTGGGCGAAGAGAAGGGGCGATGCGTATTGTTGTCGTGATTTTGGAAGGGAGTTATGTGCGTGTTATGTGCTGTTTGTATGTATTCGTGTGTTTGTATCTCTGTGCAGGCGTCTGGGTAAGTGCGGGTATGGTTATGAGAACAACCATAGATACATAATACTTTATATATGTAATACCCACAACAAATCTCTCTTGATACAGATCGCAGGTGTGTCTCCCAATTGATCCTCTGAGGGGATTAGAGAGTCTAAATGATTGGTGCAAGACGAACTGCCTGAAGTACCCTCCCAACTGCGACCCTAGGATCTGTAAATGTGTGTAAGTATATGATCCAAAACCTTTCATTTTTGTGTAATATCATATTCATATTCCGTATTTCCACTAGATTGATAGATAAATATAGAAATATACATATATCACTAAATGAGTAACATGCGATGATAATATATTCATAGACACATTTAATAACTGCAAACAGATAAATACATACAAATTGACCGATATAGGTCGATAAACAAAGCTATTATCGTTTCTTTTTCTGTCCCCAATAACCTACCTATCTCTCCTCTCCCAACCCCCCTCAGTAACGAATGTGAAGCCATTGGCGAGTTCGCCAAGCAGCCCGGAGCCGACATCTACTGCCACCAGAACTGCCTCAGGAACCCTCCCATCTGCCCC